GTTTGTGCGAGCAAGGAGGCTAGATGATTACCCCCGAAGCCCTCGCTATGAGGCCGATCGGGGTAGAGGCGACTCCCGCGGCCGATGGGAGAGGGGCGGCAGATACGAGAAACCGGACCGAGATGGATATAGGGACGACGGATACGAGAGGTCGGGTCGAGATGGCTACAGAGAAAGTAGATATGAGAGAGGAGATCGAGACTGGGAACGACAAGATGGGTCACGCGGACGGTTTGAGCGCGGGGGAGATGCGAGAGAGCAGCGTGACGAGACGCGAGGATGGTACAACCGAGGGGACCGACGCGATGAGTCACGAGGACGATATGACTCGGGGGACCGCCGGAATGATTCGCGAGGGCAGTATGAGCAAGGAGGGTCTGGAGGAGACCGGCGCAACGATTCGCGCGGTCGAAGAGAGAGAGGGGGATATGGTGTCTCATCAGAACCATATCCCAAGTCGCCTGACCCCAAGGCGGCCAGGAATTCGATGTCTAGAGGCGCAGACGACAGGGCGTATACTCCCAGGAACTCATGCGTCTACTGTAGAGGAGAAGATCATATCAAGAGGGATTGCCCGGACCTCAAACGGGCAATAGAAGAGGGACTTGTCGTGCTTGACGACCGCAAGTACGTCAAGTGGGCAGATGATCTCGGAGATGTATCGATGTTCCCTTCGATGAAGAAGAATGTCGAAGGAAAGAGAATAAAGACGAGTAAAAGAATGGAGCCGGTCAAGAGCCAGAGCATCAAGATAACCTTTGAGGGGGATATGGCGACCACACCCATAATGGTGGCTGCCACCAAGTCGGCGAGAGGATCTACATCAAAGAAAATTGATACGGATTACGTGATGGCAGAGAAGGACGGGCAGCGGGTCGATGGAGAGGAGGTTATCCTTTCGCCGCGAAAGCGGGGAGTCAAGAAGTTCTTAATGAAGAGTTAGCTGGACGAGATTGACACGGTCGAGCCACTGAGGCGGGCCCTTCGGCAACTCATGCAGTGCTCTATTCTGGAGTACCTGGCGGCATCGAAGCCGGCTCGTGATGAATTACAGATAATCACGCGGAAGACTCGCATACCTCTATCAGAGGAGGGTCAGGGGGCCCCTAAAGCGGAAGTTTCTACAGTAACGGTAACGGGGGTGACTGCCAGAGCGGATCGCATGGCGACAGTCCTTCTCGATGGGATGGAAGGTGTGCCTCCAGACAAGTT